TTGGTGGAAGCTTTATTGAGTCGATAGAAAAGATCATGCACTCTAGGGGTCTGTGTATATTGATTAAAGGTGTAGGCGCATAACTTACTCCATCTAAATTCTATATGATGCCTTATATCTAAGTACCACTGTTCAAGAACTTTTTTTAGACCCAACCACCAACCTTTTAAAATTCAGCTCAAATTACTAGTAATATACAACTTGAGATCTTATATGGGCTGAACAATCATATATTTTCTAATGTAGAATTAGAATTCACAATTTTTACAACTTAAATCCTTAATGTTCTCATCAATATTATATATCACAAATACAAATCACAATTCAAAGGCTCATAAGGTCTTAAATTGCACCACATAGTCAGCAAGATAGCATGTGCTCTGATACCATTTGTAACACATTTAGGCATAAATACCACTAGTCAAACAATACTTGTCAGCTTGATACTCTAGTAACACATTAAAAAGAAATGTGATTATTGAGTTTCATAAGAGCTCAAGTCAGATACTACTAATAAATTAAATTTGAATTTTTTAGAACTGGTGGTTTGAACCTTAAAAGTCATTGGACCAATGGTACTTGAAACTTGAGTATTACGAATTTTACCAAAGTATGTACTAATTGGGTGACTCCAAGCTAGAATGATTTTGGACCTTATGAGTCCTTAAAGTGTGAATTATGATTATTCTATGTGGCCTTGATAAGGACATCAAGATCTTAAGTAGTGGATATTGTGATACTCGAATATCACATTGAAAATATATGTGGTTGTTTATCTCTATATAATTACTCGAATTGTCTATTACTAATAAGTTGAATTTGAGTTTTTAAAAATAGTTGTTTGGAACTAACAAGTTATTGGGTCAGTGATATTTTGGTCTATGGCTTTATACTCCATATATGAATAGCCTTCTGGGGCCTAGCTTGGGGCCACCAAATTTTCAGTAGTGTAGTGAATTTTGATATGTGATGTTATAATTATTTTGGCATTTATTGGGGGATTAGCCATGATTATGTGTTTTAAATGTGTAGCTTTTTAGTTATTATTATGCCCGTACTATAGCATAGATATCCATTATTGTGTTGACTCCATAATATAAGATACGTATATCTTAGTTTGGGGTAACAGTACTTCTGTGTTTTGTATCATGTATTCTCTTTGTTTTTTGTGTTTGTAATCTCTTTAATATTAAAAAAGTTTTATTATTCAAAAAAATATTCTCATAGTTTAAGTTTTTTATATATTAAATAAGGAGTAGACGATTGTGTTAGTTAAAATAGAATTTTACTTAATTTTGAGTCATCGATTCTCTTGTCTTCTAGAAATTGCTATAAAAATTGAAGGAGAAGTATTAATTCATTAGGAGATGAAGTTCAAATAAATCTTAATTCTTTTTTTTTTTGTATTTCTTGTGTAAATATATATGATTGGCACCATGAGAAATTCCTATATTTATTGCCTACAAGCTATTATAAAATATTCTAATACTTTATGTCATCACTCATTTTAAAAATAAAAATTGGTTATATTGGTTATTTGAGGTTTAAGCTAATGGTTTTTTAAAAAATAAAAGGACATGTTTTATTGGATAAAAGCAAAATAATTACAAAACTTGTGAATAATCACCAAATATAGACACTAAACACAAAGTTTTTTTCTAAGAGAAAAGACAAAACATGCATACAAAATAATAGAAAATACAAGGAGATAAAGTCGATTAAGTAAGCTATGATAAGTTCTAAGCTTGAAATCGAAAATTTATGAAGATAAAAGTGCTTGAATGAACTTTCTTATGAGTCAAATGTGCTTAAATCATATTTTAATAGAAAAACAACATATAATATTTGGATAAAGATCAAAAGTACTAAAAGTTCATGAACTTCTAGTCCCAAAATAAGAATTCTTGAGATTATTTTTTTATTAAGAACTTTTTAAAAAAGAAAAAAGTAACTCTTTTAATCATTATCTTGATCAATTACTTCTCAATAAATTTAAAAAAAAAATTATAAGTCATCAACCACTATTTAACTAAATGGTTGGTATGTATTTCTCTTTTCTTATAAAACAATTATAAGCTCAAATCGGATATACTCTTTTACGTAATTATTTGGAAGTTATTTTATATTATATTATAGTTGATATATTTGTATCGCTTAGATAATGAATATTGTGTAACTTTCTATTTTTTTAAAAAAAAAAAAAAAGTTACAACTCTACCACCATCTCATTTATTTTTAATTATTTTATGTTAAATACAATTATGTTACACAAAAAATTAGTAAAATTTAATAATAAAAATTAGAGTATGATGTTGATAAACTTTATTTGCAATGATTTTTATGTATTCTTTGTATAAAAATACAGTTAAAATAATTTTTAATTAATGAGAAGCTAGTTAGCTATTTTCAGTCATTTTACTAAAAGTTTCAGATTAAAGCTCCTAATTTTATCATCAGTTTGTAACTTTTAAAATCTTAAAATTAAGACCAAAAAATAAGATAGCCAAATATTTTTCAAACTTAAAACATTATAAGCTTAAGGAAAAATTAAGTTATGTAAAACAGTCAATTCTATCTTTTATACTTATGGCTAATTGTAAATTATAATTTGTCTAATTTTAATCATTTTATTAAGTTTTCAACTTATAAATTCTCTTCCCGTGCTAGTACCATCTATGTAGAACATATAAATTTTTCTTTTCTAAAAAAGGATATACAATAACCTTAACACATTTTCTATAGCTTACATGCTTCACTAACCTAATAACAAGTCTTAAAATGCATGAGTTATAAGCTAATTAGAAAAAATAAAACCAAATACCTCCATAGTAATACAGAAAATTAAGCAAAACCTAGTTAAATTTTAGCACCTATGGTAATGAAGTCAAGTTCAAACACATGTAAATCGTAATCAAGAAAGCAAGATATGCATGCATGTTAAAGCTCTAGGAAACATATTATTACATTCCCTTTCTTATTTGAATTATTACAGATAAAGCAAGCTTTAAATTCATCATGCATAAGATGGAGGATGACAAAGATAACCTTATCTTGATGTACTCAAAAAGCACAAAATATATGTACGTTCATATACTGCGTGAGCAAAATTTCCTTCCAAGTTTTGATATGTACATATATAAGATATATATACACACACATTTATATATATATATATATATATATATATGAGAATACAGTTTTTCGTTGATGCATTACCAGAATTATATAAGATATATATAGTTACTGTATCTGACGGCCACACAAAACAACAATCTTTTATTAGAATCTTAAGCGATACATAATTTAAGCATGCAAATATATAATGTGTCTAGATATTATATATAGATGACTTAATGATGACATACCATTAAATGGTAATATTACATACATAATTAGATGGTTAATATTACATTATAATTTAAGTTTGGATACATATGTGGTTATTAGTTCCTAAAAGCTGAGATGTATTCTTTACATGTTATAACAAAACTACATTAATTTGCTATTATTACCTAATTTTGTTTGACACCATATACATATACATATATTTATATATAGTCAAACAAAAATAAAATAAAGGTGGAATACCTTGAAGAAAGCAATGCATCTTTTTTACCCACATTAAAGGAATAAGTAATCTAAGGAGTGAAGCACACGATGTACATGAATATTAATTAGGTACGGCAAACTTCTAGCTCACCAATTAGATTAATCACATATATATATATATAGCCTTAATTATAACGATTCTCCTTAGCTTTTCTTTTAAAAAAATAAAGAGAGAAAAAAGTGTTAAGAACAAGATGCTATTTTCACTAAGATTATGTGCTAATCACATTGTTAATCGTGATCTCTACATATATAAATTATCTTTCTTGATTAATTAAATCATTAACAGAATCCAAACCCGTGATGTTAGCATGAAAAGGATACATTGATATCTCTGCTAATTACTGTCATCTCAAGGTACTTTTTGTTTTAGGGTACATTTTCCTGCAACCTCTCTCTGATCATGTACTATCATGAAGGTAATCCAATTTAATTCATGTAGCAATCCAATTTAATTCATAAACTATCATGAAGGTAATGTTTTTGCTGTTCATGGAAGGAATTATTAATCAAAAGGATTGAAAACAGTGATTCTACTTAACGTGCATGAATTATTGGGATAAGTTATACATAGATATATATATATATATACATATTCCTATATGTTAGACACCAATGGACCTACTGAAGATATTCACTATCTTAGACCCATATATAAACTGATGAGAAAGGACTGAATTTCTAAGTTTTAGTTTATGAATTAGAAACATCTAAATTCCATTAAGAGAAAAACAAGTTAAGCTTGATTTTCAAAGCCAAAAATGACATGGAAGAAGGGGACCTCTTTGACAGATGAAGCAGTCTGATACTATAGTACTGTACTTGTCTAGGACTGCTGCAAAGAAACCCTACAGCTAATATATATTAATTTCTTTCACACAAATCAACGAGATATTAATCTTCAGATTATCTATTAATCAACAATTCACTAAAAAAGAAATTCAGTACATATATATATATATATATAAATTAGTACGAAATCAACATTTACATATATAGCAAGAAAGAATCATCACGATCGTACAAGCATAATTAAAACCAGTAGATGTATGTATGCATATGTACATGTTGATGGAGAAAATAAGACTGACCTAGAACTTGAAAACTCATAAAGCTTTCCTCTCGGGGAGAAGATGATGAGTGCAACTTCAGCATCGCAGAGGACTGACAACTCAAAGGCCTTCTTGAGCAATCCATTTCTTCTCTTAGAGAAGGTTACTTGCCTGCTTGTAGCATTTTCTATTCTCTTCATCTGGGTTTTTCCCCTAACCATTTTCTGATCTCTCTCTCTTTCGCCAACACCAGTGAAAAATGGAGGGAAGAAATTGAATACCCAGAAAGGAAAAGCGAGAACTACGAAGTTTCCCAAAACAGAAAGGATATATACTTACAAGGAAGAATTTCTCAGTTTTTGCACATATGGAAATCCATGGAAACCCTAGATTTCAGATGTTCACTCCTTGTTTCTCTCTCTTCTTCCTGCTTTAATCCTACATTTAAGAGGAAATATATTATATAAATGTATATACTTACATAAATAGCAAATAAACAAAGACGAGAAGGCAACCTCTTTCTCCTTTTGGTAAATTGAGGAAAGAAAAACAGTCACTCCCAAAAGAAGCAAAAACAGATCGGAATATATGCCAAAGACTCAGAGGTTCCACTCATGAAGAGACAGATAGAGGCACCAAGAGTTTATGCTATCAAACGAGGCGATGACACCTGGGTAGATGGACTGACAACCTACATGTCCGGTACCCGTCGAAGCGACAGTCAAGGGAGGTTCACCTTTTGATCCAAGAGCACCCAACATGTTTACCGGTTGCCAGTCCGTCTCGGACGACGTGTAAGAATAGTCTCTTGGTTGCATGCAAATTCTGAGCACTCGCTGGAGACGATAACAAAAAGATGACAGATAAAAGCATTTCATTGCAAAACTATTAAATAGCCGGTTTCGGTCCGTACAAGGATTAGCATGATGTCTATGTTATCCGTACGCTATGGTTGAATCTGAACCAATAGGATTACGACAGCTCAGCAGCGGACCTGATATTTTCAGGTTGCGTCACGTGGCTTGTCCTTGTTGGCGCATTATTTTAAAAAAAAAATACATTTTTTTTTTCCTTTTATTAAGGTTTTAATTGTGGCAAGTGGTTGCGCACTACGGGTGTGTAATGAGTATCGGTTATTGTTATATGTTTCTTCTTTTCGAGTTCTTGTTGTAGGGAGCGCGTGAGGGAAGAGCGTGGGGGGGACCACGAGCTTTTTTAGCAATTGGTGGATAATGAATTGGATGGGAGTCCCATCGATGGTTGTGTTTTTGACTAATGGCGTACCATAATTTTCTCTCTTTTTCATTATATTAATAATTTACTATTTTTTTAACTATTAATGATTTTAAAATACTATTTTAGTTCATTTTAATTAAATACAACATATATTTTATAAATAATTATATATTTTTTATTTCAAAAATAACTAATTAAAATAAACAAAACCTTCACTGCCTCATAAACATTTACATAATTAGAAATATATTTTATTCAGTCTTTTCATCGATACTTTCATTCACTCATTAATACCGATAAATACTATTTTAATAGATAATTGAACATATTATTTGATTTGACATTATTTAATTTTTATAATTTAATAATATATTATTTTAAATTTATAAAAAATATTATTATTTGAGTTATTATTTAAAAAAATTTATATATTTATTAATACATTAAATTAATATATAATAATTTAAAAAAATAGAAAAAAAATTTAATACCAAGAAAAATAAAAGAGGAACAAAGGCATAAGAGCAAAAACATCCATTAAAAAAACGTGAAAGTTAACAAATCAATACATATACATACATGTGTGTGTGAAAGGAATATTGCAAACGTCACTTAGCATTTTCTTATTTTTTGGAATAAAAATAAAAAATAATATATTAATGTCAACTATACATATCTATACTATATAAAGATAATCTATTAGATATTATCCACTCAAATATTATAATAAAAAATAAAATTAATATGATAATTATCATTACATTTATAATACATTCAAGATAAAATTTTAAACATTTTCTACTTCAATTTTAAAATATGTATTAATACGATATTATAAATAATATTTATCTTTTTAAAATTTTAAAACACAAAAATGCAATTCAAATTTTAATTAACTACAAATCATAAACCTTATAATTTTTAAAAATTTTGATAACTTATATAATAATTATCTGTTTATAATTTATACAATATAAAAATAATCTTTTAAATACAAAAATATAATATTCTAAAATAACTTAAGTGATATAAATAAAATTCACTTTCGTAATTTTTTATGCACAACATGTTACTAATATGAAATGACTCCATTTATCTAATGAATAGATTTATTTGGATTAATACAATAAATTATTTACTTGATTAGTTTATTTATAACATGTTTTGTATTTTTAATTAATTATAAATTTTAATAAAGTCATAATCCATGTGTAGCACAATCTAGCTTTTGTATTTTAAGTACATATATATAGTATGTGTTAAAAATAAAAATAAAAAAACTATTTAATTTTACTTTTAATGGTCAAAAAACAATTTTTAATTCATTAAGTACGTAATAATTCAAAAAGAAAATAAGAACTCATTAAAGATGCAAGTTAAATTTATACTCACAAATTTGGTACTTGCTAGTGGGACCCAGTCACCACATGATAGATGAGATATAACGCTTTCTTTCTTAATTTTTTTTGTTTTTTTGTTTTTTTGCTATTAATTTATCTCATATTTTATTATTACAAAAGCTTTATAATCATTTCTTTGATAAATTATTTAATTTATATATACGTACACTATAATTTTAATTTATCTATTTTTAGAAAAATACCAAAAAATTATTTACACAAATTCATAGTTATATAATGAGCGATAAAGAACTCAAATATAAAATTAGTATAAATTTATATTTATCATTTTTAGAATATATACATCGGAGATTATTGAAATACGTGTGCTTCAATAGAAGTAATATTATATGTTTAAAATAACTTAAAATATCTACATCTTGATTTTATAAATAAGTAGTTAAATATTTAAGTTAAAATAAATATTACATGTTACTCAAAATAAATAAATATTGTATCAACAAACATATCTATTTTGGAAGTAGAGTATAATGTATTATAATACTTTAAATTTTGGTAATTGTTTATAATTTATTTTTATTTTGTCTTATATGCAATATTGTATACACAAAATATAAAGAGACTAGTATAATTACCTTATTTCATTTTACAAGTTATAAAACCACTAGATGAAGGATGTGGCATCCTCATTATCATATATCGGCATTTGTCCAATTTTTAATCTCATCAATTGGTGTCATATTCCCAAAGAAAAAAATATATATAGTAATTATTTGGAACAATAAGTTGATATATTATTTTTTATCCAAAAAAAAAAAATTTAAAGAGAAAAGATAAATGATTAACTTTATTATAATATTATCATGTAAGAAGAGCACTACAATTATAGAAGAAAAAACTCAAAAAATTAGTATTTGAGGAAAATTGCCAACATGGAGGAGTTAATACAACCTTTATTCAAATACTAAATAAACAAATTACATATAAGTGAATAAAAATATTTAAAATAAGAAAAAAATCATTTGAATGTCTCCAAATAAGTAGATGATAAATAAATAATAAGGTTGTCAAGCCGGAGACATACCATAGGAGCACGAAATTACAACCAAAGTTTAAAGAGACTAGTAATTGAGATATTATCCTATGTCCTATTTAACACACTGTTCGTCCATTGATTACAAAAATATTTATTCACTCTCTTTTCAACTAATTACCTCAACATACTTCAACTAAAAATTTATTTTATACTTGTTGAATGTGTAACACCTAACCTTTCTTTTTTTTGTTTATTAATTATTATTGTATGAATATAATTATTATTTATGTAATTTTAAATTGAATTTAATTTAATTGAATTTATTTTAATAATAATAATAATAAAAAGGGTTAAAAAGTGTTTAGAAATTTAATTGAAAATAATTTTTGGGAAAAATGATGTGAAAATTTGGGTTCTAAGAGTATTTTTGAAAGAAAAATCAGAAATCGGAGGTCAAAACGTAATTTAAAAAAGTCGTGTCACGTCAGCTGCCCGGTCAGCAGCTCCGGCCAACCACGAAGCGCTAGGTGGCAGAGACGCTAACGTGAGAGGGAGCCACGTTGGTGATCCGCGTGCATTTGATCGAACGGATGAGATCCGTTCCTGCGTATACGGACGACCCAGATAAAAAACGCACACGAACAACCCAGATTGCATCGCGCACGGACGTCTCAGATTGAATCACGTACGGACGGTCTAGATTGAATCGCGATGAACGGCCCAAATTTATTCCCTATTTAATCGCGATCGGACGATCCAGATTAAAAGCAATGGACAACTCATATCAAAAGCGATGGACAGCTCATATTAAAAGCGGATGGGTATAAATAACCTCATCCGCACTCAAATCTTAACCCTAGCTGCCAGAGCCCTTCGCCGGAAAAGACAGCCTAGCCGCCGGGGAATCGACCGCTGCCACTCGCCGCCGTACTAGAGCAATTTTTGGCCGCCAAACGAGGTAAAAATTATACCATTTGCTCAGAATTTGATTCTAAACCCACCTATGGCTAAATCGGAGCAAAAGCGTCGATCAATTGGCTGAAAAACACCGTCGAAGCTCAGTGGCGCCGCCGCGAGGTATTTCGATTTTCGTCTCAGATGATGCCCTTCCCAATTACCGTTCGATGTGATTTTTATACCATTGTGATCACTATTTCATCCTCTACAGGTTGACCGGAGCAAAACACCCAACCACAACGTGAGTCGGATGAGTCGTCGCATCGGAGAGCTCTATCGCCGATGAGTTTCGGTTTTCTATATTTTTTCGTCCCACCGAGTGCGCTAAATGTGTTTTATCACAAGAATCGATGCAAGTTTGGCTGAATTCGGTCGAAAACAGCCAACCCGATGTGGACCTCCGCCGCGAGCGACGACACAGTTGCTAGAGCACGGCAGAGCCGTCGTACCGGAATTCTGAAATTGGCCGAGTAGGCCCTGAGTCTGATTTTTTGGATTATTTGGGACATGTGTAGGTACCATAAGTACGTTTCAGTTCCCGATGAAAAATTCAGGGAACCCAGGGACCGCCCGTACGCGCAGTGACAATCTAGTTTTCAGCGTCAAATCAAGTAAGAACCCCTCACCCTATTTCCTAGATGTGAAGTTTGAATAAATAATAATACTATATTTTGTACAAATTAAATAAATATGCATAATTAATTACGGTTGCTAATGGAGCCCGAACTGGACATTATTCTATGTCGATTCCTGTTTGACTTATTTTACAATTTAAATGCATTATAGTATCTGGTTTATCTATTTTATGGTTTTAAATGCATGTATCACTGCTTACTTCACAACTGTTTGATTTTGGAAATTTAATATATGATTGCATTGTTGGATGCATGTTACTTGTTTATGTATTTATGTTTGATTTGGTGACGAAGATTAAGGACAAACAGGAATATGATGTGATATGATAAATGGATAAAGTGACAACCTCACTAGATATCCTATAAGATGGTTGACGGAGCGGGTTCATAGGGAACCCTATCGTGAATGTCGTCTCATACCGGATGAGGTATGAAAACTTAGTCATGTGGTGTTCATACCGGACCGGGTACGGGGTCGGCCCGCTTCACCCTCATACCGGACAGAAAATTGAGGTTTAACGTCTTGGTGCTCATACCGGGCGGGATATGGGGACAGCCTTTGAATTAAGATTGTTAAGAAAAATAGTTCACGTGTAGCAGAGACACCCCTATGGATCCCCATAGATACTAGTAGACTGGTGAAACGAGAAGTGGTGATGATCATTTATTGTTAATGAATACGGATTTATGATGTGTTTTATGTTACTGATTATGCATGAAATTGTGATCTGTATGATGTTATTGTCCTTACAGGTTATTTTCACAGATTCTCAAAGGGTAAAAATAATAGTAAGTGGTTTTATTTTAAATAATTGTATTGGTTTAAAATTTGTGCTCTATTAATTATTTTCGATTTTTTACTAACATTTACTTCTCTGACAGTGATATAGTGTAATGTCTTTACTGGGTTAGTATAGTTTATTTATTATTTAACCATTTCATATCAGAAGGACCTGATTCCCGAGCTCGATCCACAAGAAGACGACAAATAGATGCTAAATGCTTTATAATTTCATTTATTTTTCTCATTTCTCGTATTTTTTTTAGATAACTTATTTCGTGATATTGTTTAGTACTTTTAAGTTATTGTGTAAGGGATGTTAATCTTAATCTTTTATTTCACTTCCGCACTCAGATTATTATATGTATTTCCTTTTGAATTTACAGGGTCGTTTTGAAATTATTTTATAGAGTTAAAAATAATTCGTAATTTTAAACTAATAGTGCAATGTAATATGTTAATGTTAGAGTTGCTTAAGAACGTTGATTAAGTCTCTCATTTGACAAATATTTTGTGCATAATATTAGAGTTATGTAATTAAACTAAGACACGTGTCAACTTTTTTCATTTATTGGAGGTTTGAGAATTATTCTATATGCACCATGTATTATATAAAAACTTCAATTCCTCAAGTTAAAAGTAATATAAAATAGAACTCTATACTATATTCGTAATATTTTTTTATTTAGTGACAAATTTAAATATAATTTTTTTTTTATCAATATAAATCCAGACACTTGCCGATCAATACTTATTTACAAGTTGATTGATCAAATAATTTCAGATAAAAAATCTCACATCCTTATAATTATATCTTTTAAAATGTTTATTAACCATAAAATTGGTGGCTTAAGGTGAAAAATAAAAATAAAAATAAAAATGAAACAATTATGAGAAGATGAATATTGTAGCTATATAATGATAAGATTTATATGAATAAATTTTTTTTTTTTTTTTTTTTTTGAAATGGAATAAGAACATATATGGACCTATAGATATTCAAAAGCAAAAGAGAAATGGACCTTTTACTCGCCCCGTGAATTTCCTATGGCCCTTTAGCGCATAACCGCTTTCCTTCTTAAAAACCTTTTTTGGGCCAAATTTATTGGAGAAAAGAAATCGGCATTGCCTTGGTGTTACCGTCGAGACAAAATCTCCTCTCCCTCTCTGTCAACTCTGTGTTTCTCTCTCTAAATGTTGGTTAATCTTTTCTCTCTCTGAAGATTCGTGTCCGTTTTGAAGATACTTTCTCCTGATCAATTTTGATTGTCAAGAAAGAACAAGAACAAAGAAGGTCGAGAAATGACGACTTCTCATTCTTCGTCTTCTCCTCTCGCTTCGAGCGAAGAGCTAGAAGAGGAAAAACAACAACCGCAACAGGTAAAGGAGTGTGTACATAAAACAAAGACGATACAGTTCTTGGGCAGGACGACGCCTATCGTCCTTCAAAACGACAATGGACCTTGCCCCCTCCTGGCCATCTGTACATTCTCTCTTCTCTCTCTCTCTCTCTCCGTGTGTTCCTCTATATATCGTTCTGGCTAGGGTTTCTCATTATTCTTTGGACTTGTTTTCTTGCCGAAAAAATAGAACAGAGGGGAGGAAATGAAATTGAGCTTTTAGATGTTAGGTTTTGGTTTTTATCTTGTATTCAAATCGATCGTGATTGTGCCAAATTTAATGGAAATGGATTCGTTTGGCGACGCTATATGATGAGGCGTTTTGTCTCTTTTGTAGGAAGATTTGGATTTATTTGTTTGTTTTGTCTTATTATTCTGTGTGCAAAATGGGGATTAATTCTGTGAATTCTTGTGGTTTTTCAAGTTTTGTATTGGTAATTTATGTTGTTGTTAACTACTTGATCCATTTAAATTATTATCTTTAATCAGTTGTCTTTAGTTTAGTGATGCCGACTGGTTTGTTTACGTTTTTCTTTACTAGGGTTTCTTTAACTCCAATTACGACTGGTTCTTTCCTAATCACTAATCATTTAAATTTTGTGTTTTTTGAATTTAGTCTGAAGAGATGGGCGCAAAACTTGTAATACCAGTCAGTTTTAGCTTTTTTTTTGTTCCAGAAAGTGTAGAATTGAATGAATTCCAAATTTAAGACTTGTATCTGGCAGTTTCAGAGGAGGCTCTGATACTGGAGGTTGAAAAGTGAAATACATGTCTTCTTTTTGAGTTTCTAAAGTTGATCAAAGAAAAAATATTCCGACCAGTAGTTTTTCTCATTGTTCTAATGTAGAATATGTTTGGATCTTGCATTTTTGGTATTACTGTTCTTTCTATATGTGATGGCTTCTTATAGTTTCTTAATGATTGATTTTATTTGTTATCCGTTTGTTCTTTTGCCATGAGAAGTTTTTCAAGGGAAGAGTTTGTAATGCTCACACTGTTAGTGACTCGAGAGAGTATATATTTGTAGCTGAATGATCTTAAGAGTAGCTTAGGCTATAGGAAATATGCCTCTTATGTTATGACCTGTCTTTTTAAATGACAGCCTTGTCATTCCAGAACTTATGTAGAATGTTACTTGTGGTCTTATTTTGTATTTATCCCTGAAAGTAAGCTTTGGGTTAGGCAGAAATGGGAGACACGAAATTCTTTTAGAGTATGGTGGAGTTTCTTTGCTATTATGAGCAACTTAAACCACTAGGTGTTGCCTGGTTGGTTAGTGCTTGCTCTCCCTATAATTGAGTATAGTTCAACACCCATTTATTGCATCAAAAAATGTGCGAGCAATTTAAAACTGAACAAATTAGTCTGGATTTACTTTGTTCCAGTAGTAACATGGAACATCAACTTAAGCAATAATTACGCCATCGGTCTTAACTTTTATGATTTTCAATATGATGCTGATTTTTTGAATATATTATTTCATAAATGATTTTGAAAAATGCTGGTTTTTCTTATCGTTATATCGTTTCGTGATTGGGGTCAAAGATGCATTTTGATGGTTGATTTCTGGGTTTGTAACAGGTAATGTTCTTCTGTTGAGAAACAATTTGAATTTAAGTCCTGATATATCTGAAGTTTCTCAAGAGAAACTGCTGTCGCTTGTTGCAGAACGGTTGATTGATTCCAATAGTAATGTCAATGTAATGACTTCTTTTCTAATTCATTTTAACTGTTTACTTTTTGTTAGCCTAAGTTGATATGGATGCCTCCATCATTTTGCAGAATAAAGATGCAGGATATGTTGAAAATCAACAACAGAATATTGCTGATGCAATTGATCGGTTACCACGCCTTGCAACCGGAATTGACGTAAATATAAAATTTAGAAGGTTGGATATCCCATCTTTTTGAAACTCCTTTCTTATACCTTCCATCCCCAACCCCAACCACAGACGTGTTTGTTTTCTAATTGGAATGCATATTTAACTTGCAGGATAGATGATTTTGAGTTCACACCTGAATGTGCCATATTTGATCTACTTGACATTCCTCTATATCATGGTTGGATTGTTGATGCCCAGGTATGGCTCTATCTTGACCTGCCTATGATTTGTGCGAGAACTTAATTATTCTTAAGCTATATGCTGTTGGATATTTTGAGATTATTGCAATTGTTTTAAATATCCTACGTTTGTTAGATTTGTTATGTTTTGTTGAACTGCAAATTCTTAAGAGTTCAAAATATGTGTGTCAGATGTGGTAACACAGCTAACTGTGTGTAATCTTCCGTTCTGCCTAAATAAATTTATTAGCGAAAATGATGCCCAAGATGCATGAGTCGCAAACACAAAACTGATATATAGCCAATAAGAGACTATAAGCTCTCTAACGGCATTTTAGAATTTTTTTATGCGTTAAGTAAACAACCAAGAGCTCATAAGTTTGATAGTTTATAAACTCTTGCGACATGCATTTTCAAAAAAGGCAGTTGGGAATAATTTTTATTTTAAAGAGTTGATGAGCTCTTTAAAAACTCTAGAGTGGACCAAGTAAATGACTGAGATAATTGTGAGCAATTTAAAAAATTATATTTGTATCCGATTTAACTTGTTCTTTCTCTAAGGGTGCCATTTTTTTATCTGAACAGAACTGCCATCTTATAGGTCATATTTTTACCAAACGCGTAAATAAATTAATACAACCTATAAGTTCATGTTACTCAAGCACTTAGATAGCTTATAAAATAAGTTGAGCCGAACATGCTCTTACTGATTTGCTTACATAGAAAATCGAATTTCTTTTTTTTTTGAAATAAAAAGTGTAGAACTATATTAACATGGTACCAAACAACCGGGGGTACAATCTCTATACATAAAGCTTTACATATAGTTAGTGAATCATGACATGCCCAAAATTCACATCATTAATCATATCATGCCTTAAAAATAAAAACTCAAAATAATGGATTCACATATCTCTCAGCCTATACAAATCAGTAGGTGTACCCTCAAAAGCTATAGAATTTCTTTCCCTCTCAAGAATCCAAACAAGGATAATGGAATAATATATTTCAACTTTCTATCTATTGTATGCCATGCCAGCCCACAACTCTCCCTATACACCCAACATCACTCACTACACATCAACTATAATAGCACTCATATCAACGCGTCGACGCACACAAACATGTCTGCAGCTT